CCCACAGACTCAACACTGCACCATAGACTCAACACTGCACCATAGACTCGACACTGCCCATAGACTCAACACTGCCCATAGATTCACAATAGAGTTTTTTTTGTTAGGTTAGATCGCATAAATATAACTGTGTTGTTAAACCCGGCACCACCCAACACACACGGTCAATTACTAAGGTGTTTTTTGCACGTTACTCGTTCAGCACTAACCGGCTGTGTGTTGGAGAGTAAACCCACCGCAAACTTTACCAGCATCGTCAGGTGACGGCCAGATTTGCGGAGAAATCCTCCTGCCTCGTTCTTAAATAGATGGATGAATTTAACACGTTCATCATGCGTACGCCATCGAACCCAACACACACCTCTGTTATGGATGTTGGTCGCGAAAAGCCTCGCACCACGTGTTAAACAGTCAAAAACAACTCAAAACATTGCATCGAGACCTTTAACAAATTAAGTGTATAAGATAGGCAACGTTTCAGACAATGCCCCTTCTTCATATCGCATAGAGGCGACATAGAGAGAGTGAGAGATGGTTGGATAATAATACTGGTAGGAACCTCCTGGTTACACCAGCCCACAGGGGATTATTGTGTCCGTCCATCCGTCGTGCATCCAAAAATGGGAGGGGTGGGGCTGGGTGGAGAGGGGAGGGTGGGGAGGGGCTGGGTGGGGAGGGTGGGGAGGGGTAGGGTGGGGAGGGGAGGGTGGGGAGGGGCTGGGTGGGTGGGGAGGGTGGGGCTGGGTGAGGGGTGGGAGGGGTGGGGCTGGGTGGGGAGGGGCTGGTCACCCCGTGGTGCCCTTATAAAACTCAACGTTTAACCTACTCACGCCGGCTTGTGCCCGCCATCACAGTCGGGCATATTTGCGGAATACACCACGCCGCCGTTGACCCTGGCCATTGACCGAGCAACCCAACGTTCCTACCAGCTCCCTCTGCAGGAGTGTGTTACCAAATACAATTTGGATTGTTTTGCATGACCCACAGTCTGCACCATCACTACTACCAGAGAGACGTTTTAGTTTTCCGTTTGTGCATCATCAGGTATCATCATCATCATCCGCTGCTGTTGGCCATTGGTTTGTGCAGTGGGTGGATGGTGCGGGTTTAGCGTGAACCGTGAGCCGCTTCAAACCCGCAGGAGAATTGTCTGCGTTGTGGTTAATGCAGTAATTTGATTCCTTGCAAAAAAGGGTGATGATCTATTTGGTGTTTGAACATCCAAACACAACTCATTGTTTCATCTTCTTGGTTCTTTCGGTAAAGTCACGTAGAAGGGAAGTAATAAAATAATAAAAAAATAAAACATAAAATAATTCTCAGGTGAGGACGGCTGCTTGCGTTGTGGCCGAAACGTCGTAAGAATTATTTTATTATGTTTTTATTTTTTATTTTATTACTTCCCTTCTACGTGACTTTACCGAAAGAACCAAGAAGACAACTCATTGTTTCATTGCCAGAAAGGGTTAAACCTATTCTTGATTTAATCTTGATTTCAAGCTTTCGTGACTGCAGGAATCCATACTCTTTGGTTCTTTCGGTAAAGTCACGTAGGTAGAAAATCAATAGATCACGACGTTTGCGATCGCAACACAAGATGTCGTGATCGATTGCTTTTCTATCTACGTGACTTTACCGAAAGAACCAAAGAGTAATATTTTTTAATTTATTCACACTCTGATGCTGGCATTTTTCGCTCACCGCGGGCTACAGACGTTCTGCTCCGTGTGGCATTGTCATTGTGCTGTCCGCCCTTTCGGCGTCGTCTGGCCTGACACTGCTGGTGAGACGAGGCCCTGAAGAAGGCTGCTGCTCTCTCTCTCTGGCGTCGGACAATCAGTCTCAAAGGGGCCGTCCATAAATGACGTCACGCACCTAGGGGAGGGGGGGGGGGTCAGACATTTTGGGGGGAGGGGGAGGTTTGAGAAATGTGACGTCACATCAAAATGCGCAACTTTAAATAAATATAGACAACACGTTCTACTTGATTAAATAGACGTTTTAATAAATGTTTTCTCCTACAACATCAGAGTGCAGCGCCACATTAAATACGCACTACAATGACAATAGTTTAAAGCGATTTGAAGCATCTTTTATTTTCAAAATTGAAATATGGTTTGGGGGGGGGGGCAGAGCTTTGTGACGTCATATTTGAGGGGGGGGGGGTCTGACTTTTTGTGACGCCGTGTGACAAAGGGGGGGGGGGGGGGGGTCAAAAATCGTCCAAAATCGCGTGACGTCATTTATGGACGGCCCCAAAGTCAATGATGCCTTGTATATTATCAGAGCCATGTTCTGTTTGCATGTTCATCACAAGAATCCGCGCGTGGTTAATGCAGTAACTTTAATTTTATTCGGTGTTTGAACATCTTAACACAACTCTCTGTTTCATTGCCAGAAAGGGGTAAAACGCCTATTTTTATTTTACTTATGATGGTATCATACTGCGCCCTAGCGACTAGATGACGATCTACATTGGAACTCACTCGCCAAGATGGTTTCAGTTCGCAATTCGATTTGATATATCTACGTTGAACTTCTTTCGCACCGTACGTAGCCAACCGTCCTAATTGGAGGTGCGGGGGGGGGGACAACAATCTAATCATCACAAGAAGCAGTTCTAAATAAATGAATTTGCCAATCGAGATGATTTAGAAGTGCATCACAGCTCCCAGTGGTTTCCTCGTATCGGAAGGAAAAGAGCGTTCCAGACGGCCGCAGAAGCAGCAGCATCTGAAAGTGCTCGATGCAGTGTTTGGGAGTCCATGGGTCTCTGTGTGAGTCCATGGGTCTCTGTGTGATGAGTCTGTGGGTCTCTGTGTGATGAGTCTATGGGTCTCTGTGTGATGAGTCTATGGGTCTCTGTGTGGTGAGTCTATGGGTCTCTGTGTGGTGAGTCCATGGCTCTCTGTGTGAGTCCATGGCTCTCTGTATGCGTCTATGGGTCTCTGTGTGATGAGTCTGTGGGTCTCTGTGTGAGACTTTGGCTCTCTGTGTGATGAGTCTATGGGTTTCTTCGTGAGTCAATTGGTTTCTATGTGTGCACGTTGAACTTCTTTCGCACCGTACGTAGCCAAGCGTGCTAATCGGAGGTGCCGGGGGAGGGGAAGGAAAGCAAACTAATCATAACAAGAAGCAGTTCTAAATAAATGAATTTTTCAATCGAGATGATTTAAAAGTGCATCACAACTCCCACTGGCTTCCTCGTATCGGTAGGAAGAGAGCGTTCCAGACGGCCGCAGAAGCAGCAGCAGCATCTGAAAGCTCCGCGCGATGCTGCTGATGATGACGACGATGCCTTTGTTCGACGTTTGAGAACAAGAGCCGCTGCTGCTGCTGTTGCGAGGATGATGAGCGGAGTTCGTATGATGATGCTTCACGCTCCCTTGACGAGACGTTATCGTGGCTCCATCAGCAGGAGCAGAGAGAGGTCTCATTTGCAAAGTGTGACCTGGGTCCAAAAGAGGCGGTTGGTGTGGAACGCTTCGATGTTGTCTTCCGGCTGAGTCGCTGTTTACAAAAGAGCTTTTACTGAATGGAAAAATAAACGAAACTATTTAAACACGATTTATTTTTTTTCAGCAGGCAAGGCCCCACTGAACTCTCTGCAGCTACTTTGCCAGAAGCGACCTGGCAATCACAAATGAAAGCAGCTTAACCAAGTGGCTTGTCATCATCATTATCATCACGATCACGTGGAAATGTATGACAGCAGCCAAACAACTCCAAACGCTGGTGATGTTGATTCTAAAATGTGGAGGGGAATAAACCGGACGACGCCGGAGAAAAATCCACGCGACCACCACGGGGAGAGAGACACGCAGACTCCAAATATACAGCAGCAGGGATCGTCAAGGATTGGGATCGAACCCACGACCTCCTGTATACCAGGCGAGATAGTCAACATCTCCTAGTTACCGTGATGATGATGAGAGAGACACGCAAACTCTAAATATACAGCAGGGATCGAACCCACGACCGCCTGTATACCAGGCGAGGAAGTTAACATATCCTAGTTACCGTGATGATGATGAGAGAGACACGCAAACTCCAAATATACAGCAGGCGTCAGGGATTGGGATCCAACCCACGACCGCCTGTATACCAGGCGAGGTAGTCAACATCTCCGAGTCACCGTGATGATGATGAGAGACACGCAGACTCCACATATACAGCAGCAGGCATTGTTAGGGTCGGGATCGAACCCACGATCTCCTGTATACCAGGCGAAGTAGTTAACATATCCTCGCCACTGTGATGATGATGAGAGAGAGACACGCAAACTTCAAATATACAGGAGCAGGCGCCATCAAGGGTCGGGATCGAACCCACGACCTCCTGTATACCGGGCGAGGTAGTGAACATCTCCTAATCACCGTGGTGATGATGATGATGAGAGAGAGACACGCAAACTCCAAATATACAGCAGCAGGCGTCGTCAAGGGTCGGGAACGATCCCATGACTCCTGTACACCAGGCGAGGTAGTGCACATCTCCGAGTCACCATGATGATGAGAGAGAGAGACGCAAACTCCAAATATACAGCAGGTGTCAGGGATTGGGATCGAACTTACGACCGCCTGCATACCAGGCGAGGTAGTTAACATCTCCGAGTCATCGTGATGATGATGAAAGAGAGAGAGAGACGCACACTTCAAATATTCAGCATGCGACCTTTTTTCTTGCCAGTATCAAAGTTTGAAAATATAACAACACTCCAAATCTACAGCAGCAGGCGTCACCACGGGTTCGAGATCGAACCCACGACCTCCTGTATACCAGACGAGGCAGTTAACATTCTCCCCGCCGTTTTACAGCCCCGGTGCTTCAAATGGAACGGCCACCACAGTGACAAATCCGGTCTGTCGCTTGGACGATTGGCCCCATCTCGTGCGTCGTTTTATCAGCCCGGCGAGCTCCGCGCGTTGTTGTGAGCGGCGTGGCGGTTGCCCCGCCCCCCCCCACGGCCCCCCCCCCCCACGGCCCCCTCCAATCGTTGCCCGGTGGCATCGAGCGGAGCGCGGTGGTGGGGTCTTTCAGCTGGACAAGTCGAACGCGTCGTGGTTCGTTCTGTCACGTAAAGGGTGGGACAAGACGTTCAACGCGAAGTTCTCCGTGCGTCGAGGAATTGAACTCGTGGTGTAGAAAAATAAAAATTAAATCCCCGTTAATCGCTGTCAGTAGAAGCGTGGTGGGTAGGGGAGGGGAGGGGGCATTGCTATTCCTGTGGACGGCGATGTGAGTCCGAAGGCGAAGAGGAAAAGAGAGAAGATTGTCAACGATTTTAATATTTGGAACTCGATAAAGGTGAGGGTATGGTGGTGTGCGTGGTGTGTGCGCATTGCTTCACACGCAGCTTAAAGAGAGACGTTCCCCATCGTTTTGAATGTCTCCCCGACGACTTTTAGAGCGCCGCGATCTTTGAAAAGGCAACTTGAGACGGCCCACATCAGAGGGGGGATAAATGTTGTCAAGTTATAAAGTTAAATTGCCGATCGAGAGAGATGGAGAGAGAGGGGGTGGGGGGGGCGATTGTCTGTGTAGGCTTATGGAGAACTGAAACATTGTTTTGTATAGATTACAAAAAAAATGTGGGGATTTGTGACCGCGTGGTTTTGACGAGTTGACGCCGATGAGAGAGACACTTTGATGAGATTGAATTTGAATAAAATCGATTGATTCGTAGGCAGGAATTCCATCGAACAGTGGAGGCCGTTATGGGATTTGCGTGTGGGTAGGGGTGGGGCCTAGTGCGGCCTTGGCGGGCGCCTCGAGGCCTAGCGGCTTGCCTGGACGGCCGCGCCGGAGCACGGGGCTCTGACACCGCCTGCGGTTGCTAGGAAAACGGGGGTGGGGGGCGATTGTGTATTTGACAAAATAACATTTTTTTTATAATTTTAAAATAGATTTGTTTGAAGATATCACCAGCGGCAGCTTTAGTCTTAGTCAAGACGCGGTGGGTCGTTTTAAAACACGTTAATACCTCGGTGGGCTTTAATCTTGTTAAAGTAAAATATATATATACTGTAGTTTTATTCGTATTTATATTTTTCTTTTAAAAACAGTTATTTGTTTACTTTTTCTATACTTTAGCACTCCCGTCGTGCTTTTGTAATCGTCTTTGTTGTAACGTTCTGATTCGTGTGCGAAAAAAATGCTTTATAGCTCTTCGGATTCCTCCAGCAGTCTAAATATGCTGATTCTGTTATTGGACATCCATGCACAAAGAGCTTTATAGCTCTTCGGATTCCTCCTGAAGTCTCACTAAATATTCACTCAACGCGGTAGCCCGTGGGTCTGGAATCAAGCGCGGGTATTTTTTGTGTGCCGATGTTCAATGCGCAGAGCATGGCGCTAACCACTGCGCCACCGCTCCACGCCTTCGATGACAATACGAGGTCGCGTCCGGACCCTGCAATTACTTTCTGCTCAGATGGGGATGGTACTGGAAGGAACCTCCTGGTTCCACCAGCCCACAGGGGATTATTGTGTCCGTCCGTCGTGAATCCAAAAATTGGAGTGGTGGGGCTGGGTGGAGAGGGGCTGGGTGGGGAGGGTGGGGCTGGGTGGGGTGGTTGGGGCTGGGTGGGGAGGGGCTGGTCACCCCGTGGTGCCCTTATAAAACTCAACGTTTAACCTACTCACGCCGGCTTGTGCCCGCCCTCACAGTCGGACATATTTGCGGAATACACCACGCCGCCGTTGACCCTGGCCATTCACCGAGCAACCCAACGTTCCTACCAGCTCCCTCCGCAGGAATGTGTTTTAACCATTCTTATCAGAGAACGTTTGTTTGCGTGTTTTGCCACAATTAGCCGTGGTTAGTGAATGGAGACTTGGTTCCTTTGCAAAATGATAGGTGCGTGTGTGTGTGTGATCTACTTTTGTGTTTGAACAACTTTAACACGACTCCCGTTTATTTACCAGAAAGTGGTGATGGTGCTGTAAACCTATCCTGATCGGTTCTCATACCCAGGACGTGGAAATGTTTGTGCCCCAGTACATTATTATTATTATCGGAGCATGTTTGTGGTTGTACGTTTTATTATTATCATTGGAGGACGTTTGTGGTTGTATACCACCAGTGCCTGTGTGTTTAGTGTATGCAGACTTGATTCCGTAAAAAAAGACTATACTTATGAACATTCAACTAAAAACTTTCAGAGATACGAATAATCCTGGTCCAGTTGTCGTAAGTTCAACCGCCGCGCAACAGATGGCGGTGGTAGCATCTACATCTGCAGAACGTGAAGAACCAGTGGCATCGACATCTGCAGAACGTGAAGAACCAGTGGCATCTACATCTGTAGAACGTGAAGAACCAGTGGCATCTACATCTGTAGAACGTGAATAACCAGTGGCATCTACATCTACAGAACGTGAAGAACCAGTGGCATCTACATCTGTAGAACGTGAAGAACCAGTGGCATCTACATCTACAGAACGTGTAGAACCAGTGGCATCTACATCTGCAGAACGTGAAGAACCAGTGGCATCTACATCTGCAGAACGTGAAGAACCAGTGGCATCTACATCTGCAGAACGTGAAGAACCAGTGGCATCTACATCTGCAGAACGTGAAGAACCGTGGCATCTACATCTGAAGAACGTGAAGAATCAGTGGCATTTACATCTGTAGAACGTGAAGAACCAGTGGCATCGATATTTGCAGAACGTGATGAACCATTGGCATCTACATCTGCAGAACGTGAAGTACCAGTGGCATCTGCAGAATGTGAAGAACCAGTGGTATCTACATCTGCAGATCGTGAAGAACCAGTGGCATCTACATCTTCAGAACATGAAGAACCAGTGGCATCTACATCTGTAGAACGTGAAGACCCAGTGGCATCTACATCTGCAGAACACGAAGAACCAGTGGAATCTACATCTGCAGAACGTGGAGAATCAGTGGCATCTACAGAACATGAAGAACCAGTGGCATCTACGTCTACAGGAGGTTATACAACTTTTAAAGCTATTCCCCGTGTTTAGTGTACACGCCGTACGGGAGTATATTTGGGACTTGTGAACGACTTACGAACAACAACCGCCCATGACGGGCAGGGAGTAGTGCATGCATGTGGGGAGCGGTGGTGCAGCGGTTAGCGCTACACAACCCGGCGATGACCCGAGTTCGATTCCCGCCCGCGGCCACCATCGCAGTTGACGTAAGCGCTGTGCGTCTTTTTGGCGTTTGAACATCTGGTTTTACCAGCAAGGGGTTTATGTACCGTGAACGTCTTATGATCGTAACAATAAGTTTTACCCTTTCTGGAAATAAAACGTGAAGAACCAGTGGCATCTACATCTGTAGAACGTGAAGAACCAGTAGCATCTACATCTGCATAACGTGAAGACCCAGTGGCATCTACATATGCAGAACGTGAAGAACCAAGGAGTCATGTTTGCATAGACTACAATACCTGCAGTCGGAATGCAGGTATTGTGTTCTATGCAAACATGACTCCTTGTAAAAAAAGGTGTCAGTTTTGTTGCCAGATAAAAGGGTAAAAAACCAATTATATTTTGCTACTGGCAAATGAGGTTTCAAGGGTGTTAAGGTGTTAAAACACCACACAGAATTTTTTTTTCAAGGAATCATGTCTGCATTAACCACACGTTCTTGTGGTGAACATGCAAACAAAATAACATGCTCTGACAATATATGCATTGTCTTTGACACTGATTGGTTCACACCAGAGACGGCTTTCTCTTTTGAGCCTAGTCTCAAACAGTGTTAGCTCACCCCTAGCTACAATATGGGACCTTTCTTGTCAGCATTGTTTATGTCGTTTATTGTGAAAATTCGGTCACAGTTCCTATGACCTGCACTCTTTAATTGCTTTTATGGCTTTATTTTGGTGATTTTCGCAAAGTTTTTCGGTTTGCCCATGTTTGTTTGTTGTAGTACAGAGTTAGACTGATGGCCTTAATTTAAGTTGTCTTGTGGTTGTTGTTGTTTGACTTGCATCCCACTGGGATTTTTGCACACAGCGTCGGTGTACGGTGCTTTTTCTGCAATATTTTGCTGTCTTTTCTTAGATTTTCTGTTTGCACATAGTCACTTTAAGATGTTTTCTTGTTCATGTTTTTGTTTTTTTGTTTGTTGCGGTTGCACCCGATTCAAGAGCCGAATGGCTCACAGGGCTATAGCTAATAAATGAACTTGAACTTGAGTATCAAAGTATAACAATAGGTTTTACCCTTTCTGGGAATAGCACAGGTGTTAAAAAAGATAACGTTTGGTGTTTTAACATCTTTACACCTCATTCTTTGGTTTTTTCGGTAAAGTCACGTATAAAAATAAAATAATAAATTAAATAATAGCATACGACGTTTCGATTGCAACACAAGCAGTCGTTTTACTGAACATTTCGATACTTTGCTAGGTTATTTAATTTAGTGTGTTCTGTCTCCCTCTAAGCCTGCTTACCTTACTCCCCTCCCTTCGTACTCATTGACATGTAAATGTTTTCCCTACCCCCTCCCTCTCTCTGCCTCCGCCCCCCTCTGTCTATTTAAGGCCACCCCACAGAGACGATCACCTCTCTCTGTACCTGGGTTGCTCTCTCTATGTATCTTGGTGATATCTGTCTGCTTATATGTCTGTCTATAGTTTTCTGGTTATATTCTATGTCGCTATTTCATTATACCTGATGATGATTGCTTGTGTTGCAATCGAAACGTCGTATGCTATTATTTAATTTATTATTTTATTTTTATACTTTACCGAAAAAACCAAAGAATAATTCCTGCAGTCACGAAAGCTCCAAAATTAAGATCTTTACACCTCGTGAACCCAAAAACCTCTATTGTGGATCTTAACACCTGTTGCATTTCCAGAAAGGGTGAAACGTACTGTTTTTTTTTTGATACTTGCAAGAAATGGTCCCATACTCTTGTGATTGATTTCTCATTCCAATCAGCCGTGGGAATGTTTTGTGTGTGCGCCCCGTGGTTTTTTTGTCCAATCTGCTGCGTGGGCGGCCGAAATTCTTTGTTGCCTTTCCAAAGTGCACGCACGTGATTTCCACGAGACGCTTCGCCACCCATAGCCGCCACTCCCCCCCCCCCATCGCACCCGATCGCTCCTCAAACCAGGAAGCTTTCAAGTTCCAGTTATTTTGTCCATAAACTAAATGACTGCAGTCGGTCGTCGATTGTCCGGCGGCTTCGGCGCGAAGGGGGTGTGAAGAGGGTGCCGGATTTTCAAAAAACGCCGGATAATCAGGATCGGACCCACGACCTCCTGCATACCAGGTGAGGTAGTTAACATCTCACCGTGGGGGGGGGGGGGTGGGGGT